CAGATACTTTACTAGATATTTCAGTGGTTAATCCCTTAAGTGAATATGCGCGACGCTTCTTGTAAGGATGAAGAAAGTACCTCCAGGGCAACAAACAGCAGTATGCCGGGTAGCACCAGGATTGCACCAGTATCCGCTTGGACAGCTGCTAACTTCCAGCGATACATCGCAACTCAAATAACGCCCATCCGGTGTGCTGTACGGCCGCCCTAAAGAAATAGCCTTTTTGAAACTTTCCAGTTTGAGTATGTGGCATGACAAGCCATGAATTATTAAAATTATCAGGATCCTGATGTGAATTAAATTTTAAATTCGTGCACTAAAAACGGATCTGATGTAGCGTAAGGTGCTTACCCTCGGCACACGGATTTGGCCTGCAAGAGTGCTCGCAGCTCTGTTGACTCAAAAAGTTGTTGGCATTGCCCTTTAAGCCTTTGTATAAAAACATTTCGCAGGTGCCACGCTGCGCATTATAGTACCAACGCTGTTGCGACCCACTGCCGATACCCGTCACTAGCGGTTGATCACACGGATTCCCTTCTGAAAGGCCAATATATTGGTTTCAGATATGCTCGGATTGTAATTAAAATTCCTAAAAGTCACTTTAAAAATAATAAGACATTTTTGATGTTTTATTGTGTGCAAAAAAAAATGAATAAATTGGAACCGAGAGAGCAACAAATTGTGGTTTCTGGCGTCAAGCCGTAGTGACAGTAGGTGCCGGCAGAACATGGGCGTGACGTGGAACAAGGCTGTGCTGGTAGTGCAATTGGTTGCCTGCAGGGATTTACAAAAACTGAAATTTGAAACATAAATAGCAAAACAAATTGCACGCGGATAACTGCTTGTTTGGTTACTTGGCAGGGCTGCCTGGAAATGAATGGAGAACTTCAAAGATGTTTTTGCTCAGGAAGTACATAAGGCGTTGGTGTGGACTTGTAATCCCTAAACTCTTGCAAAATGAAACTAGCACATTAAAGTGCATTTCTATTACCCCGAAATGAATTTCAGCAAAAAACAAAATTCGATTCTGATCCTAACATTCGGATTAGTGGAGAAATTCTTATTTGGGGTTCTGTTTCGATCTGCAAACTTTGAGGTAGCGAATATCACTATCATAAAATTGTACGGCACGTAGGATTGTGGGTATTTTCAAAGTCCTAAAAAATGCTTTCTCGGTAAAGTAACGGAAATTCTTTTACTAAATATCGGTAATAATTAATTCACAAAAATTTATTGATATAATAGTAAAGTGGGAGTACAGTAAACAAAAACTTTAAAACACCATGTATTTCGGGGACAAAACTGTGATCGATCTTTCTCACAGTGTAGAAGTGCTACACTCCCAGTCATTATTCTCACTTCACTGGCGTGTTCCAATTATCCTTGGCCTTATGAATCCAGGACAGTCTCTGCCAATGTA